TGTCTCCCACCATTAGAAGCAGCACCGGATGGAGAAAAGGCCAAGCGGGGCCTCAGGGGGCTCAGATTGCACCTCTGACCCCAGCTAACCGTCCTTCCTCGAGGCCCGGCCCCGGGGTGGGGTTCCCAGGGCTTGGCCACTGCTGCCAGACCTCACAGCTGGGCTGTTGGCAAGAGGAGTTTTCCCAGGGTCCCAGCAAGCCCCGTGCTCCTGCTGGAAGCCCTTCCTTTTCCCACCAGCGAGCTGAGTCCTGGGCCAGGCTATTGGATGCCGTCACCGGGGGCCCGGAGCTGCGCTGTGGCCAGAGAAGCAGCTGTGGGTCTAATTACCAGATCGAGAGGAGGTCTTAGAAATTCTCCCATGGAAGCAGCATGTCCTGGGCTGGGCCCGGGGACCGTGATCGCTTCGTGAGTTTGTGTCTATGTGAGTGTGTGTCCAAGTGCATACATATTAGGGTTGCCAGATAAAATACAGACACCTGGATAAATTTGAATTTCAGATAAATGAACAGGTTTTTTTAGTATAAGTATGCCCTAGAGATTGCACTCTGTATCCTTCTTTGCTAAGTCCGGCAAGCCTGACACATGTCAGCATGGGCTTCCAGAGACTACGCACGTGTGTAAGTGTGTCCATGTGCAAAAGCCACACATAACGTATGCAGGTGTGTATGTAGACACACGGGTGTGTGCACACCAGAATGCAGGTGTGGAGGTCTCCCTGTGTGTGTGAGCCAGGGCATGGCTTTTGCTGCATTGGTGAATGTATAAAAGTATCTGAGTGCAAAGACGATCACGTGTGTGTTTCCATGCTTACATCTATGTGTGTAGATGTACCAAAGCGCACGAAGTGTCAGATGGGGAAGTGTCCCCGTATGTGCACATGACAGAGCGTTAAAGCCGGAGGGAAGCTTAGAGCTCTCCCGCATGTAATGTGACACGTGAGCACCCCCGGTGCAGCCAGCCGGATGCACGTGTGTGTGCACGCATGCGTGTGTGCGCAAGCTGGGGGCCGGGGGCACGAGAGTGCTCGTGCTCACCTCATGCCAGGCGCCGCTGACCAGCGTTGCCTCATCCCCAGACAGCCCTTTACTTAAGAGGACCAGTCCTCACGGGGGACGTCCCGGGGGACCAGGGCACCAGCCTCGCCCGTCTGCCCGGTGGAGGCACGTGTGCCTGCACGTGGATTACATAAACGCTGCGGCCCAGAGCTGTGGCCAGATGTTCTGTCTCTTCCTGGAGCCAGATGGCGGCCGATCTGGGAGTTTGTGTGTTTTCCTAGCTCCTGCCCCTTTTGGAGCTTTCCCCAGGCAGGGAAGGGGCTGGGGACACACTGAACGGGACCAATTGCCTCCTGGGGAAGTGGCTTCTCCCAGGCGGGGGCTCAGGACCTAGTGATGTTGCTTGCGGAGGTGCTGGTGCCCCAGGGCAACTCCCAGCTCGGTGGTGTCCCCATGTTGCCCTGAGGCCCTGGTGCAGCCCGGTCCGCAGCAGGGCTCCACACCCTAGACCTGCCCCCAACTCACCTGGCGTGGGTCCCCATGCCCCCCTGGCCTCACTGTTCCTGTGGTGACAGGTGACGGCCAGCTGACCTGATAAATCCACGGATTAATTTCCCAGGGCCACCACCACAGAGCACGCAGACCGGGTGGCTTAGAGAGCACAAACGGGTTTCCTCCCCGTTCTGGAAGCCGGAAGTCAGAAACCAAGGCCTCTCTCCTTGGCTCGAGGGCGCTGTCTCCTCCTTGTGTCCTCACATGGTCGTCCCTCTGTGCTTCTCTGTCCGAATTTCCTTCTTATAAAGACACCTGTCCTGTTGGATTAGGGCCCACCCCTAATGGCCTCATTTTAATTGAATTGCCTCTTTAAAGGCCCATCTTCAAATACAGTCACCGTCTGAGGTCCTGGGGGGTAGGACTCCAACATATGAATTGTGGGGAGGGGTGCACGGTTCAGCCCAGAGCACCACCACAGGTCTGCTCTTGGGGAGGGAGCCTCTCCAGCCCCGGTCCCACCATCACCGGGCAGTAGCTGTAGGGGGTCTTCATAACCCCAATTTCCTGCTCTTCATTCTGGCAACTGAGGACTTTACTAGGGGCCAGACAGGAACTCTACAGAGACCCAGAGCCAGGTCGGGGTGGCCCCTCAGCCTTGAACCCCAGCTCCGTTGGGAAGAGCGTTGGGACCACATGGATGGGAAATGTGACAGCTCAGGGCGGGAGGGGTCGGTTCACTCCCCTTTGCCCACCCACAGCCTGAAAGCCAGGGAGCCCGGGCAGGGGGCGGTTCAGGGCAGGCCACTTGCTTTGAGCCTGACACCCTCCCTGGGCCTCAGTGTCCCCATCTGTGAAGAGAGGCCTCTGGGCTCACCGTGACCTGGTTCCCCTCTGCACTGACCCCTGGCCATCGGAGCCCTGAAGTACGTTGTCCTGCAGGGGTGGGGGGTGGCCCATGCAGCTCTGTCTTCCTTTCGGAACCTCAGGCCCAGGGCTTAGCACTTTGCATGCTTGTGGTCTAATACTCGCACCTGTGCAAGGTAAATCATCCCCATTTTATGGAGGAAGAACCTGAGGCCCAAAAGGGCTCAACAACTTGTCAGGGCCAGAATTTGAAACTGGGTGTCTGATTCCCAGATGTGTGCTCTTTCCTCGACACCACTGTGCCCAGCCCACCCCTCACCTGGCCTCCGAGCCCCCCTCAGCCCTTCAACCATGTGACCTTGACAAAGGAAACCCTGGTGAGTAAAGCTCTGTGGCCCACACCTTTGGGGCTCTGCCACCTTGAGGGGACGCCTCCTTAGGCTTCCACCTTGCCTTTTCCTGACGCACCGGGAGCCGCTGAGGGCTGGGGTGGCTACCTTCTCCTTGAAAGTCATCCGCTGCGGTTGGGACCCATGGAGTCTGGCCAAGGCTGACCTCAGAGGGCACAGGTAGCCGTCCGACACAGTGGGATTTGATTCTCTGTAAAAAAAAAGAAAAAGCCCACCTACCCCTGCGCCCGCCGCTCCCCCAGTCCAGCCCCACTCCATGGTAGGCGCATGCCCGTGTGTCTGTTTTCCAGAGGACTCCTCTGCTCTGAGCCCATGTGGGCCTGGTTCTAATCCTGGCTCCACCACATCCCAGCTGAGTGGCCTTGGGGAAATGACTTTCCCTCTCTGAGCCTCAGTTGCCTCACCTGAAAAACAGGGATAAGGTCACTGTGAGGATTCGGTGAGACAAGGCAGGTGAAGGACGTAGGAAACCATGAATCCCCCTCCTGCTCTCATCCCGAGTCAGGAGTTGAATGTCAGCTCCATGGAGAGGCTGATCTCTGCGAGGTTAGAGATGAAGGAGAGATCAGCGATCTGAGGGCTAAAAACAGAAATAGATGAGGCCACGTGTACCCTGATAGCGGAAGTAGACGCAGGTAGATCAAGGAAACAACACAATTTGCCCCTGTGGATACAGAGACAAAGATCCCTAACAAAATCGCCAAGCCAATCCGGTGGTGTTTAGAAAGGGCAGTGCATCTAGACGCGTGGGGCCTAGCCTGCGTGTGCAGAATAGGTTCACCGTTTGAGGGCCAAATATTATAGCTGACCACAGAGAATGGGAGTGGCTGTTGGCTTCGATCACCAAAGTGTGTTTACATTGTCTGAGTGAGCACACACTCGGTGTCTCTCGTCCCATCCCTGGGGCCATGGCAGCTGTTCCCACCTCCTGCCCACCTCCCCTCCAGGCTCCGCTCCTGTGGGCTCCCCCAGAGGGGTCCGTGTGGGATGGCAAGGGGGCCCCATTGAGCACGGACCCTGAGCCTGGCGCCCAGGTGTGGAGCACCCCTGAGTCACACAGGACGCTCCAGAGGCTTGTCACCCCTGTGTGACAGGTTAGAACGTGAGGGCTCAGAGAGGGCGCATGACCACTGTGTTGGTGCTGGCACTGGCCTGAGCCGGGTCCCCAGCACCTGGTGTCACTGAGACCTCACAGGACAGGGTGTGCCTGCCGGGCGAGATGCCAGCCACCTCTCCAGGGAGACTTTCCTCCTCACTGTTTGTGAGGCACTTGGATTCCACTGTCCTCTTGAGCCTAGGGGGTCTGCCAAGAGCTCTCTGCTCGTCAGAAACCCCTCTTCATCCTAAAGACGCCAAAGACCACCACCCCCTCCTGCAGAGACAGAGGCCCTGCGGACCTGCATCCCTGCAAGGGGTGTGGACCTCAGAGGGCAGCAGGCTACCCCAGCCTGAAGCTGGGGCCAGATTTGCCCTGGATGACAGACCCTTGAGGCAGGGGCAAGGAGTGAGGAAGACACCCGCAGCCCTTCTGCCAGCATCTCGTGGACGCACCGCCCAGGGGCACGTGCAGAGTGCCTTTTGAAGACTCTGGAACCAGCCTATGTTCAAGATTGGAAGTTGAGGGTTTTTATTGAGGTGGCCCATGTGTCTGGCATCCCCGAGCTCATTCAGGGCAAAGACAAGGTGCAGCTCTCCTGCACCCCACACATACCCCCAGCATCCTGCTCATTTGTGGTATGCAAGGGCCCCCGTGTCGCTCTTCCCTCTGCCCAGAGCACTCTCCCCTCCTTCCTGGCTCAGTCCTCTCCCCTCCCCACCTCCCCTCCCCCAGGGCCCCTGCCCTGATGCCCCACAGCTGGGCACAGCTCCCCTCACTGGGTCTGTCTGTCACTGCTGACTTCCTCGGGACCCGGCCCTGGTCAGCGGGGAGCGGGAGGGTCTTGGCCCCCAGGGGAGCTCTCCAGCAGCACCACAGTGAGGGCTTCCCAGACTGATCACGACCCTGGCTCTGGGCAGCGTGGCTGGTGCAGTGCCTGCGGGGATGGAGGGAGCCCCAGAAGGGACCTCAGGGAGAAGGGACCGACCAGACTGGAAAGGTCTAGAAGCTCTCTGAACACCTGATACTGTGGCCTGACAGAGGGCAAAGAAATCAGCGCCCCCCCACCATGTTCACAGCAACTCTCCTGCCTGGAAGCTTGTATCCCACAGGGGGAAAAAGCACACAGGAGAGGGGCGGTTCGTACATCATCTGTATTGTCACATGAAATGCACATCCAGAACGGCTGACTTGGAAACGACCTATTAGGTCACACGGAGTCCGGCCCCTGGGGGCCAAAGCGGCACCGATGCCCGTGGCTGTGGGCTTTCCGCAGGCGGTGGCATGGACACCTGGTCTCCCCAGACTCTGGGGCCCAGCGCTGGGAGAGGCCAGCTCATGCCTCAGGCTCTTCTGCTCCTGGGCAGCCATTCCCAGAACACACTTGAGGAAACCCAGTTCCTTGATGGGGGGTGTTAATAGCTGTTCCGTGAGAAAAGGGTTCCATGGTCAAATAAGTGCAGGAAACGTGGGTTAAACAAGGTTCGCCAGGAAGCTTTTCTACAGGACTTGTCAGAGCCTTTACTACAATAACGGCCCTCGTGAACGCCCAACAGAGTATGCAGCATTTCCCAAATTTATTTGACCACAAAACCATTTTTCTTCCCAAAGCGTCCTGCAGGCTGGTGTCCGGAGGGGCGCCCTTTGGAAGGTGCTGCCCTTGGCTATCAACGACCATTAATGGCAAGGGCGTCTGTGTCGGGTGCTGGGTTGCAGGTATTTTGCCGGGAGTCGTGCTGTGGGGAGGCGAGCAGAGCCAAGAACTCAACAGTCATGACGATGGAAGGACAAGACACGACTCGGCACCCCTCCTGCCATCTTGGTGCTCGCCTGTTATCTCCAGGGCAGAAGCCGAGTGGGGCAGTCCCCAGGACTGGGCCCGGCCTGCCAAGAGAGGAGCTCAGAGTCCAGTGAAAGGAGCAGGGGGCACCCAGCACTATGGGACGTGCCAGTCACTGGTGGGCCCGCCAGAGGTCACCAGCCTCCAACCAAGTTGGGGAAGATGCGGTGGGGGCGCCTGGCTTCCTCTCCCCTGCCAGCCCCGTGTTGTCCTGCTGCCTCTCTTGGGCCACCCCAGCCCCAGAGCCGTGGACAGGCGGCTCACCAGGCGGAGATGAGCATCTGGCAGGTGTTGGAGGACAACCAGACCAGCTCGACCAACCGGAACTGGAAGTAGCCAATGGCGAAGCCTGAGAGGACGTCGGTGATGTGGTGGCGGCCGATCATCACCCGCGACAGGCCCACGCAGAGAGCCCAGAGCACCAGCAGGACGCGCAGGGGCACCGCCAGCACCAGGTGGCTGAGAAAGAACTTGGACACCATGGCCGCGCGGCTGGCGTGCCCGGCGGGGAAGGCGTAGATGTCCATGGTGAGGTAGTCCAGGAGGCCGGGGCTCGTCTCGAATGGGCCTCGCCGCTTGATCAGCTTCTGCACGCCGGCCACTGTCATGATGTCCAACAGCAGGGCTGAGGTGGGAGAGAGGGGCCCCCGAGGGACCGTCAGTGCCGCCTCCACCTCCCCTCCCCCGCTCCCTTGCATTCTTCGCGAGCAGGTTCCCACCTCGGAGCCTTCACCTGGGCTGTTCCCTCTACCTGGAATGCCCTTCCCTGGGATACTCAGATGGCTCACACCCTCACTTTTTTCAGCCCAGGAGCCTTCCCTGACCACCTGTTTACTAAAGGCCCCTTACTCTCTATCCCCTCCTGCTTTATTTTCCTTCACAGCATTTCTCGCCCCCCTCATCACATACTTTTTTGTACATTTCTCCTCCCCCCAGTACACTGTGTGCTCTGTGGGGGCCAGGACCCGATTTGCTCATGGCTGGGAGGGGCTCGATCTAGGCGCTGAATGAGAGAGTGGTGATCAGGGGTCTCACAGGCCCCTGCAGGTACCTCAGAGGATCTCATCCTGAGAAATGGGGCCCTGGGCCGCTGGTTCTTCTCAAAGGGCTCCATGGAAGCCCCCGCCAGTCCTGAGGGCAGGATGTTACTGTCCCACCTTTTTAAAGTTGAGGTGAAATTCACATAACATGCCATTAACCACTTGGAAGCGTACAGTTCAGTGGCATTCAGTATGTTCATGATGTTGTGCAACCACCTCTATTGAATTCCCAAACACCTCATCACCCACAAGGAAACCCAGTACCACCAAGCCCCAGCCCCTGGCAACCACCACTCTGCTTTCTGTCTCTGTGGATTCGCCTATTCTAGACCCTTCACACAGAGGGAAGCATACATACGTGACCTTTCGTGTCTGGCTTCTTTCCTGAACTGTAATGTAGCAGGTGTCAGAACTTTGTTCCTTTTTAATGGCTGACTACTACTCCACTGTCTGGACCTGCCACAGTCTGTTTATCTGTTCATCTGTTCACAGACATCTGGCTGCCTGCACCTTCTGGCTACTGTGAACATTTGTGTACAAGTGTTTACTGAGTTCCCGTTTTCAGTTCTTTGGGGTTCATCCCTATAGGGGGAACTGCTCCGTCACCCGGTAACTAGGTCTAACTTTTTGAGGACTTGCTAAACCATCTTCCACAGCAGCCGAACCGTATTGTCCTCATTTTACAGATGACGAGACGAAGCCCTGGAGGTTGAAGCATCCCTGCCTGCCCCTCCTCCTTTCTGGGTGTTTCCCCTTCCCCTCCCTCCAACTTCTCCACCATCCTTCAGGCCTCAGCCTAAAGATCACCTTCCCTGACCTCCAGACAGGGCAGGCCCTCAACGGTGCATCCCCGACACCCCACGTTTCTCCCCATGGCCCTTCCCTGGCGGCAACTAAGGAACCCACTGGGCGGTGCGAGGTTCGGTGTCAGCTCCTCACTTCCTCCCTCACGCCATCACTTCACCCAGGCAGGGCCAAGCCAAGTCTGTTTTGTTTCTAGGCTGATGCTGAGGGCCAGACACAAACCGCAGTCTCCAAATGTTAGTTGAGACACTGGCCTGGGCCGCAGAGCCAGAGGGGTGGGCTCTTTTCTTATTTGCAGAGCGTGGAGGAGACCTGGATCTCTGTCCACCCTGCCTCCACCGTCACCCTGCTATGTGGCCTTGGAAGGGCTGCTCTGCCTCTCTGTGCCTTTAGACAAAGATCCCACACCAAGGCCCTAGTTTCACCCAGCTGATCACAGTGGTACCCAGATGGCCAATATGGAGGTTCCAGGCAAAACCTCCTTACCCTTAGAAAGGTCCTTGGAGACCCCGTGAGGTCACGGTATCTGGAAGTCCTTCTTCAGGTGACAGTGAGGAGAAAACCAGCACTGTGGTGTGGTGGCAAAGCTCACGAGTGCCACAGAGACCCGGGTTTGAGTCCTGGCCCTGAGCCTCCTGACCGTGACGTTGGACAAGGCACCTAACTTCCCTCACCTGTGAGACGAGATCACAAACACCTGCCTCCTGGAGGGAGCCTGGCACGGCGCCTGCAGGGTGACTGACCGTCCTGGGTTCCTCTTGGACAGGCCGGTTTCCCAGGACACAAGACGTTCAGGGCTAGAGCAAGGGAGTCCCAGCAAACCGGCGGAGCTGGTCCCCCCACGTGCCGGGCACACGGGAAGGGCCGGAGAAGGGTGGAAGACGACCACTGAATGCCAGCTCAGTGCAGCCTGGCGCTGGGAGCTGTCCTAGAGGCTCTGCAGGAGATACCAGCATGGCTGGGCTGCAGCCGCCCTTACTCAGAATCGAAAAAACCCCCCAAAACCTTTCACACACAAAAATGACACAATAGATGTTCACTGTAGAAAATTTACAAAATAGAAAACAAAAGTAAGATTTTAAATCACCTGTAAGCCACGGTTCCAGAGCCTTCTAGCCATCTACAGAGTGGAGATTTACTAGAAGCTGTACCGCGCCCCACACATGCTCTTTCCTAACCTGCTTTTGAAAGTTGCCGCGTCACACGCCCCCGGACTCCCGCAGCTGCAGCGACTGAGGTCCCGAGTAGTCACCATTTACCGTGTTTACTTGCTGGTCCCAGCACTGGCGTGTCAGACTGCTCCCAGGTAACACTGCGCTCCCTGGTCAGCGCAGAATTTCTCTTTTCCTGCCCTCTGCAGGGTTGCTGCTTGCAATCTGGGCTCTCAGTCTGGGATGTGACCCCTTGGCCTCCCTGGGGCCTGCCTTACTCATTAGCCACAGGGCTGGCTGACGTCTGCCCCTCCTGGGACTCGCCAGCCAGCAAGGGAGAGGGGCCGAAGCAGGAAGTGGTGGATGGAGAGGCTGCCAGGCCGAGAGGGGAGGAGCCCGAGGGAGGAAGGGAACCTCTTCCACGCCCTGCATGCATTTCCATGGCAACTTGTCCCCTGGAGCCCAGCCCTCCCAGCCAGCACGATGCTGACCCAGGCCGAGGCCACAGGAGGACACAGTCCCAGCAGGAGAGAGGGACCAGCGGGGCAGGTGGGAGCTGGAGGGAGCAGGCTGCATCTGACCCCGGGGACCCTGAGCCTGACGGAGCAGCGGAGGCAGGCGGCCAGGATGGGAGGAGTCAGCCTGGCTCTCCCTCCCCTGGTGACAGGCTTTCTCCACTTGGGGAGGAGGCAGTTCACAGGTGGCAGGTTAAACTCGCAGGTTCCAGAGTCACAGGCGGGGTTCATGTCCCGTCTCCTCCACTCATTAAGAACAAGTCCCTTCACCTGTCGGAGCCTCAGTCTGCCCACCTGTGACAGGGGTTATCACAGGTGAGAGAGCTCCTGAGTGCCTGGGAAGTATTTAGAACAGCCTGGTATGCGGCGGTCCATGGTCCACTGCTGATACTCCTCCTCAGTCCCAGCCTGGCCTGACCCTGGAGGCCGGGTAGCGCCAAGCAGTGCAAACTGGTGAAAGGACTTCCTTCTCTGAGGTCCCACCGGGGTCAAGATGATCTGGCCCAGGTTCTGAGACCCCCACCACCTGAAGGAAAGTCACAGCATCCTGGGCCGGGGCCAGTGGAGGGGACTAGCTAATGTGGACCAGGATCAGGGCCCAAGATAGATCAAAACATGACACTAGTCACTGGAAGATGTGGGTCATCGGTCTAATCGGTGACCAAGTTTCCCAGCTGAAAACCAGGACTCAACGACTTGGCAAATTCTCACTGATTTAAACGTGCCTTCCCAGACAAGCTACACTGCACCAGAGATGCCCAGAGGAAGCCACTGGGTTTGAGGAGGTGGGGAGGGGCGGCAGCGGCACCTCCGTGGGCTGCCCAGTGGGGACGCGGGCTCAGGGCCTCACTCTGATGCCGTGGCAGAAGGCAAGGAGGGCCTGTGCCTCAACCTCCCCAGATGTCCTGGGTCTCCTCGTGAGCCGTCAGGACCCACAGGCCAAGAACTGAGCTAGACTCGCCCCTTTCAAATGTTTTTAGCACCAGGACATTTCCCCCCAATGTGAGTATCCACAAAGACTCAGGACAGGCAGCGGAGGAAAGGGCTAGCCCGGTGGCTGAAGCTGGGGGAATGGAGGGGCCCTCTCTGCCCCTAGAGAGGCTTCTGCGGCTGGCTATGCACCATGATTTGAAAACCCCATATGGGGGCCTTTGGAAATCTGCTATTTCTGGCCAACTCTGTCTCTTGAGGCTGTAATGATGTGGTGACTGCCCCTCTGCCCTGGGCCTCTCGGGATCGTCTAGCTGGCCCACCCCAGCCCACGCCTGTGGTTCGTTCATTCACTTGACCTCCAGTTCTCGGGCCTCGCCAGTTCCTGAGTGTGTCAGGTAAGGGCCAGGCCTGGGGCTGGTGAGCCAGGCTGGCAGGTGCCAGATGGCCGAGGTGGGACATGGGCAGCTAGCAATAGTTACACAGGGAGTTTCTTTCCAGGTGAGGCAGCCCGCGGTCTCTCCCGCAGTGGACTGGTCTTGAGGGTTGGAAGTAGAAGAGGCGGGGCAGGGGAGACACGGGCTCAAGGGCTCAAATCGCAGGGCGGCTCTCCCGCAGAGCCCATGGCCCCAGGCCTCCCACCACCAACACCCTCTCCTGCTGCTCCCCAACCCAGGCTGCCTGCCCCTCCTCCAGCACCGAGGCCAGCCCTCGTGTGACTGATTCTGACACTGTCAGCGCATAATCTGGGGCCCACAAATAGAAGCAAATGGCTCCATCACTCAAGGCTCTGTGAACTCCACTCACATGGCCTGTGAGTTCCCTGACCTACATCCCCTCCTGCATCCCCTCCCCGGGAGGGAGGCCAGGGCCCCTTGGGGAAGGGTCTGCTGGGCAGGGAGCACAGGGGCCAGGGTCAGGAGGGGGGCCGAAGCCACGCTGCCCCCACTTGCTGTGTGACCAGGGCAGGTCACCTAACCATCCTGGGCCTCGGCTCACCAAAGTCAACAAGGGCTCCAAGCTCAGCCTCCTGGCCTCAAGGTCCGCTGCTTGTGAATTTCGCGACCTTAGCATGTCCCTCCCTCTGGGCTTCTGCCCTCATTGATAAAAGGGGAGTCATCCCAGAGGCTCCTCTGAGGGCCTCATGGAGGAAGCGCCCCAGGAAGGGCGCCTGGGCTGCAGGGC